ATCTTCCCCGTTTTATTCCTCTTTTTCATGATTTTTTCTGCCATATTCACCCGAATTTTGACCGTCTTCTTCATTGCACCCTCTCTCCCATTTCTTCATTTGATTTAGGGTTAAGAGGTGCAAATGCATAACAACAATGGTTCGTATTTTTACGATTGCGTCTCTTTTTCTTTAATTTTGTGATATTTGCAGTTTAATTAGGGCTCAAGGTTAGTGAGATTAACATTTACATAGTAAAAATTGAGATTTTTTGGCTCCTATTTTAGGATTATTGTGGGTGAACTTTACATGATTTAGGGTGCTGTTGATATGAGTTCGATTTATTGTTATAATTTGGGTCTATCTGAGTTTGTAGTGTGAAATTTAAATTGAAATTATTATAACAAAAAAATTAACCTCCATTGAAGTACTTTAAGCTTTGAGAAATAATGGGAGAGATAATGTCTATAAAATGGGAAAGAAGAAGAGAAAAAATAAAATAAAATAGACTAAATAAGTCCCTCACGCGTCAATAGCGAGTGTATAACACTCACTTTGCCATGTCAGCTGAAAGTGTCAAAATGACACAACGGAGCCTGACATGAGGTGTCTAAAATGAACAAAGCCTAGTTAAGGTGTCTAAGTGAAAGATCGTGCCAAGTTTAGGGGGCCACCGATGGGTTAGGCCCATAAAGATAAATTGATTCAATCGTTATGACCGCGCTGTATTATAAAAAAAAAATTAATCACATTTTCTATATGATCCTCTTATCTCTTTCTTATCCTAACTCTACTGATCATAATAAAAGGAAACAAGAAGAAAGTTTTAACAATAACTTATTTTATTACGAGAGATAGCTCATAATATTCATATCAATTTATTATACGTATATGTTCGATTCAAGAAATTAGTTAAAGAAATAAAACACATTCTAATTTAATTAAATAAATGTTTGAATTGATGCCTAAATTTTAGCTCATAAATCAATATCATGATAAATAAACGTTAGGACAATTTTACGAATGATCACGGATCACTCAACTTTTATTTATTACACAAAATTCACTATAATATTTTTAATAATAATTCAATTTTGTAGATGTAATAACTATCAATTTTACTTAAATATCATGAAACATAACTAAATAAAAAAAATTATCGAAAAATCCTTCACTATATCTGAGTATAAGTTTTAGTTCATAGATTTTTCAAAATTGATTGAACCGGTTTCATTTTGCCCCAAACTTGATGTGTCCAATAGAAACAATTATAGCTATTAATTCTTATGCTCTATCATGAATGGCAACACTTTTTGGCATTTCAGGATTATAAAAAAGGATTTTTAAAATTTTGGTGTGTATTAATCCATAGATTTTTTCAGAATTTTTTTGACAGACTTTGATATGTTCCGAATTTGGTGTGTCCATTCGAAACAATTTTAATAATCAATACTCACTGTTCCGACATGGCTCAAGACATTCTTTTGACATTTCATGTTTATAATAAATAATAATAGAAAAATTCAAGATTTTTTAAGTTCTCGGTGTATGTTAATCCATCGATTTTGAATTTTTTTTTGACAGACTTCAATCAGACCCAAACATGATGTGTCCATCTGAAACAATCTGGGTAATCAATACTCATTGTTCCGTCATGATTGACATCATTTTTGGCGCTTTCGAGTCACAAAACAAGAATTTAAGATTTTTGAGTTCTTGATGTGTATTTTAGTCCATATGCTCTATATTTTCTGGATTTTTTTTATCGCCCCCAAACCTGACGTTAAGATTTATCTCTGTTAAAATACTCACTAACAAAAGTTCGGACTAAATTTAAATTTGCATTAATGTAACTTTATTAAAACACTCCCGGCAAAAACTACAAAACTAAAACCAGGTGCCTTTGAGGAATATTTTATCTTTATGCGGAAAACAGTTTAATTTCGACACTCATGCAAAATGTATTTTTTTTTTGGACTGTCCCTCACATGAAAAATAAACTTAGCTAAATAACGAACTTATTCATACATTATGTCTACATTCATTGTATCATTCACTATAACCCAAACTTGGTGTAAAATTCACTAAAAAAATATACTTATATTAAAAAAAATTACTTATATAAATATGTTCAACTTTATCAACATAATGTCTTCATCTTTACTCTAAACAAAAATAAGAACTCCATTAATGGTAACTGATTTTTTCTCTGTGAACATTTTTTCTTCATGATTGCGACATAACTAAATCATAAATATTTGATTCGTCTATAAAATTCGAAGAAAAAGAAATTGAGATCGGAAAAAATGGCGAGATTTGTACCGGTGAAGTTTAAGAGAGTAGCTGCGGCATTTGATGAGGTGGCAAAAGCTCGGATCTGCGAGAGCAGCGGCAGTGAACACTCTCCACCACCGGCGGTGGTGACAGAGAGCTTGACGGATTTATCACGACTCGTGAATTCGTTTTTAGAAGGGGAGGTAATTACTATTAATGAGAAATTGGAAGAGATTGATGGAAATGTTGATACTAATTGCTTTGATGAATCGGAGATTAAGGAGAATTTAAGGAATTTGTTGAATTCCGATGGAAATTCCGGTGATGATTTGAAGAAAAGTGTTATTAATGCTGTGGAAAATGTTTTGCTTGCTGAAGAAGCAAATGATCGGAGCTCACCGGAGTTTAAACGATGGTTGATGACTCGATTGCGTGATCAAGGCTTCGATGCTGGTAAGCATCTTTTTCACAAATTCTATAGCTAAACAAATTACTTGTTAGTTGTTGCACTTGATGTATATAAGTTTTAAAATCTTTATTTAACTTTTTTTCGCCTTTATAGGATTGTGCAAATTAAAATGGGAGAAAGCTGGTAATCGTACCTCAGGAAGTTACGAGTATATCGACATTAATGTTGGTGTTACTCGTTACATAATCGAGGTTTCATTAGCGGGAGAATTTGAAATTGCTCGAGCAACGCCTTGCTACGCCTCCTTGCTCGAAAATTTCCCTCAAGTTTTTGTTGGAAAAGTGGAAGAGTTGAAGTGGTGAGAATTATGAGTAGAGCCATGAAGAAATCTATGAAGAAAATGGATATTTATGTGGCACCATGGAGAAGACTAGCTTATATGGAAGCTAAGTGGTTTGGATCTTATAAGAGAACAACAAATGATCAAAAGAGTACTTTTGATTCTTCTTCAAAAAAGAGAAATGTTGGATTTGTGCCTAAGCAAGCAATTTCTTTCTATTGTAGAAAGAAAAATATTGCTTCTAATAGAGGCATTAAAATTGGAAATTTGGCTGCAGTTTTGAATGGATAATATCATGAACGGATATTAAACCGTGGTGGAGTTAATCAAAGGTCTTGAGTTCAAATCCTGAATATGAATTCACGTTTGTAAGAAAACGATAGATTTAGTCATATTTCAATGCGGATGACAAGAAGTTTTGGTGAAGAATATAAGTTTTTTTAAGTTGTTGAGAATTAGAAAGCCATTATTGTGGAGGCAATATATATTAGCTTTAGTTTTGGTGGGTTTGGGAAGTAAAATCATATAGTTTATTGGTGGAGAAAAAATATATATTTCTCCAAGTAGTTGCGGTTGAAGGTTTAAGATTTTAGTAAGTATTATATTGCATAGCGATTTGTATGTATTTATATGTATTTATCAAGTAATGGAGAATATTTCAGAAAAATATGTATGTTATTTGTTTGTTTGTGGCTCATATATTTAATTTTCATGAACTACATATTATATATTGAGCAGACAATATCCAAATTATTACTTTTATTCATTTTGAGCATATCATTTACTAATTACTACTGTCATAAACTACAAAGCAGGTATACTAATTACTCCAATATCTACAAAAAAATATCATTTTTCTAACATGATCGATACATAGTAAGCCTGGTATATATATTTGGAAATTGGTTGAATACTAATTTAAGTCGTGCGCCAAGATAAATAAGTCAAGTAGGTGGAACTTTTTCACCACACGATTCTTTTGTGAACGTTTTTTCCGCTTCGAAGTTTCAAAATACTAGACTCTCCTAAAAAGATATGTTCAAAATTAACGGGTAATAGCCACACATACAAGTTTCCCTTTTTATGTGGCTCATCCAATTGAGATGGTCATGTCGAGTCGATTCGCTAACGCCTTATCTTTCTAATCATAAGTCACGACTTTACTTCCACATTTCAAATTTTCATATAGAGGAACTGGTTGAGTATTTTGTCATAACCAAACAATTAAGAGAAGCAAAGGGACTGGTATTGTTTTGATACATTATATATTAGAGCTAACGACATTATTCGATAATATAAATGTATATGGGTTAGCTTTGGATACTAGAAAACATAGTTCATTAATCTCTATGATAAAATGTTCTATATATTAAGTGAATTATTAGAGGTCATTTGGTCGAAACTCGAAGGATTAGGTGGATTATCCCGATTCAGAATTTGGGGCCCGCCAAACAACATACTCAATATAATCTCACACAACAAGTCTAGAGAGGCATATTTTATTTGGAAAAGTATATTTAACTTTTGACTTTATGTAGACCACTTTTAATTATTAGAATAAAATTACTTCACATCTACTTAATAACATGTTCACGAAAGTAAGCAAAAGAACTGGTGAAACATATGATGATTTTATTATTTTTATGATGGCCATTATACTATTTAGCAAAAAATAGATGGAGTAGTTTGATATACAGCAATCATAAACTAGTGTTCAATAGACATAACTGGACAAATTTAAAGAGCTCAATGAACACAAGTTGAACGTGTATAAAGTGTTCAATTGGTGAAAAGATTAGTGTACAAGTTCAGGGTGCTTGTCTACATCAAATATAACCTTAGCTTATCGATACACAAGACATTACTGAAAAACTACAGAAAGGCAGAAAACTGTATATTGTTTGTGTTGTATGCACCCATATACGCAAACTGCCGGGAACCAAGGCAGCGAGCCTGGAAAGTGCATAGATGAATTGATTTAAGACAAGGGTCTCTTAGAAAGGCTAAATTCTAAGCCATTTCCATCTTCTCCCCTTCTCATCCAACAGCCAAACATGTACACAGAATACAACATATTCACAACTATCATGTAATATGTACAAACTTAGGCAAGACATGCTCTCACAAATAACAGCAAACAACACTACACGTAGAAGACCTGTTTCACAAATATCATGCAATATGTAAGAAGTTCGGTAAGCAGATATGCTGACAAAGAACAACAACCGGCCAGTAAACTCCTCAGACAATAATCTATTTGTATTGCTACAGCCGCAATGGCAGTCAAGATCAAGGAGACTCAATTTCGCCCTTCTCTTGGTACATGTAGCATTCAGTTAACAAACCATTGAGCTCTCCAGCATTTACCTTTATAATAAAATACTAGGGCAAAAAAGGAGCAAATCTCATATTGCATATTTCAACTTAAGATGTTTATAACCAACAAAATCTTCAATACAAAGACTAAACGCAGGTTCAAAACAGAACATAAAACAAAATAGATCTAACAAAATCAATTTCATCAAAAGTAGTTTAATTATCTGGTCTAAAAGACAAGCTCATGGGGTTTCATGCCCGACTTGAGCGAGAACCTTGCAGACAAGTAACCCTTCAATTCAGGAACAGCCTCGATGGCCTTGATCAATGCTGCATCAACAGCCTTCTGGTCATCCTTCTTCTCCTGAGGAAGCACATTCTTCTCCTACAGAATTACCAAATAGAAAAAGATCAAAATGTTGAATATCAAAGTACATCATTCATGTTCAAGCAAGTTCGAATAATAGTATAGAATTACAGGCATAGATATGAAATTTCCTAATTTTCGTTTCACATATATGAAACATAAACTCTTACCTAACAATACTCGCCAACTATTTTTCTCGATTACCAAATTGAGTTATTCATGTTGAGCAAGTTTCAATAATCCAATTGTCAATGTTTTATGTACAGGGCACGTCAAGTTTCAAGTTTCAGTAATACCATTGTCAATGTCAATGCTCATTTTCATTCTTAGATTTCTCATCACAAAATGAGACAACTTACCTATGAATGCCAATAACCATGTTTCCTCATTACCAAAGGAAGTTATTCAAGCAAATTACAATATTAAGCATCCTCTGCCAGGGGAACCAGAAAATGCCTCCGCAAATTACAATGTCAATGGAATTTGCTAATTTTCATACAACTTATTATCTATGAATACTCACTAACCAAGTTTCTTCAGTTATATTCACATAAGATCAGCATAAGAGATCACAGCATTTTACAAGACACAATAATGTACTGCCTAATCACACGATAAACAAAAAGATCTAATCTTGCAAGCATAGAATTAGCAAAAGATCCAATCCATAAGCATATAACAACTATAAAGATCCATACTTTAACCACACAATGGAGAACAAATTCAATCATTAACAGAAAATGAGCAAAATAGAAAAGCAAACCTCTTTCTTTTCTTCAAAAAACTCTCCTTCTCCCTTCTTCTGCTTCTTCTCAGCTTGTTTAGCGAAGTACTTATCATCAATCTTGTCAACACTCACTCCAGAAATATCCACCTTTGTTGAGGTACCAATAACGTAAGCTTGATTCACACGCCTCAAAGGAACTCCATTAAATTTAAATGGACCAGTAACAAGAAGCAAACCAGAAACAAGCTGCTTCAAAAACACAACTCTTTTACCCTTAAACCTTCCAGCAAGGATAATCAAAACAGTACCAGGTGTAATACTTGACCTAAGCTTAGTGGGTTTTGGTTTGTGTTTGTTAACAAGGGGTTTCTTCACGTCATCGGCAGGGTAGAATTTTGGGGATTTCTCAGCCGCCGGAGCTGCGGCGGGCTTTTTTGAGTGAACGGGTAAAGCGCCGCCGTTCTTCTTCTTAATGGCCCAAAGACCCTTCTTGTGGTACATCTTGGAACGGGAAAATTTTCCCACTCCACGAATCAGCTCCGGATTCCGGGCAGTCTTCTTGGCGGCCATTGCTGAAGTTTGTTCTTTGCAGTTTTTGCTGATTCAATGAAACCCTAACCCTAGAAGCTTGATTTATATATGGAGTTACTGAGGGTTTGTAAGAGTGACAGAAATTTTTTGCTGTTTATGTGGGCTTATATGGACTAAGAGCCCAATGTCTTATATGGGCCGGATTAGATTTGATAAGTTATACAGGGTGTGCCATAAGTAATCATTTTATAAAGGGTCTGATATACTCCTCAACTTTGCGATTTAGGGTTGATATATCACTCGTTACAAAAGTGGCTACATATACCTTTACTGGTACATAAAAAAACCCAAAAAAATCACCTCCATTGGACGAAAAGGATATATTTGGGTCATTTGTGTAACGGTAAGTGTGTATCAACTCATTTGTGTAACAGTAAGGGTATATTTAAGTCATTTGTGTAACGGTAAGGGTATATCTGAGTCATTTGTGTAATGGTAGGAGTAATCTGAGCCACTTTTGCAATAAGAGGTATATTAGCTCTAAATCACAAAATTGAAGAATATATCAGCCTTTTTCCTTATATTTTTCATGTTTGATACGTAAGCAAAAATGTATTAATCTCAAACATATTTGTATATGATTTCGGCAAACACAATAGAGGTGTGAGAGTGATGGAAATGGAACTATAGGGTGGGGGTTGGTATTGGAGGATCGAGAGCAAACCAAACTCCAAAGTGTGGAATCCACTTGTGCAACTTAGTTTTTTTTTGTTTCATTAGAGAAGTTATTTTCCTCATTTCGTATGTTACCTGCTTTTGACTACTTGTATTTCCCTTAACGTCACCGTTAGCAAGGTTCAAGAAGAAATGTGATGTAAATAGTCAAACGCCAAGCAATTTAACCTTAACAAATAAAAATCAAAGTGAAAATACATACTATTACTTTATTGTGATTGGTTAAATAATAAATTGTACGTATGAAAGACATATTTTGCATTCATTTGTTTGGTTTTAAACGTCCGTTTAACCGGTCTCAAAAGTATAGGATTAATAATGAGAAACATATAGAACATGATATCTT